GTAGTTCAAAATATTACGTATTATCTGCCCTCAGATACACGAAGCATGCTATTTAAAAAGTAATTATGAAACACAGAAGTTTAAATTACGTTTTAGAAAAGCCACTCACTTGTCTCTTTTAGGGTTTGAGTGGCAGACGCGACTTAACTGAACCCTCGTGACTTCGTAATTAGGCCATGCAGTGGATGGATGCCTTATAATCGTAGCGAATGAGAGGTCTGTCTGTATGCCACTGTGTAGGCAATACTAACTCGATGGCGTCCTTGAGGATCCTATATTTGCGCATTCTTTAACAGCAGGTTTTATGACCATGTTTTTCTGAAGTACGTAACTTAGTTTGTAAAAAATCTGAACTTTTTATGGAAGGATTTCCAGTGCACAAATATTGTTGCTGGCTATTATTCGTTTAACTTAGAAGAAGAGCTTGAAATTGGTGTTATTCTCTGCTGCTGCTGATGTGACAGCCAAATTTCCGATGCTGGGGACAGTCGGGCGCTGAAAAGTGATGATCACGGCAGCTGGACCAGTTGCCTGCGTCTTGCGCATGGGACTGCGTCTTCTCCGGAGTACGTCTCTTTCTTCACCGTCCATTATACATAGCATTTAAATTAGAGCGTTTTTCGCTATGTCTTTCTTCCTTTCGAAACCCTCTTGATACGGCCTCTGTATGTTATCCGTTTCTTCGTTAATAGATTGCTGTGAGTCACCGTTAACAGGGGCGAGCAATTATTTTTACTGTTCTGTCGGATGGGCCTTTTGGCCGGAGACCCGCAGGAAACATTGCGTGGAATATTTTGCAGTTTAACGGGGTTTAAATAATTACTATTACTCTCACTGACTGAACATGCCTTAGACTTACACCAAAATACAGTAACGTTGTTAATAATAACAATTCTGATGGTATATTCTGGTTGGATTGGTGTTCTCAGTATGTTAAAACGTTAATGAAACCAAATCTGAAGTGAAACCCATCTTTTGAAACCCCCCGGTATAGGAAAAGTAAATAGACCTGCGTGTTCTGGAGACAACACTAAAATCTTAATATATTTGTGAAAATTATTATTACTGTTATATACTAATTAGGTTGTGATCCAGCATAGTTGTACTCTGCGTGCTATAAATTTTAAATTATGTGTCTCTGACACTTTACCTGATGGAACAGGGGCAGAAATTTTGTTCTTTGCTACCCTCCTAGTCTCCTGTCCAATTGTTACTAGGGATAAAGCGGCCCGGAACGTGAAACTGATCGCACGTCTTCTAGCAGTGCCTGTGTACGTGTTTATCTTTCTGTGGTATTCTTATCGTGAACTGCTTTACTTCCAAAAGTTGAAGAATTCAGGGGAGAAGGGATCTACTAATTCAGAATTTGGTACTCATATCTACGTGAAGTGTTTTTGCTTTTTCAGTTTTGCTTTTCAGAAATGTTTTAACTTTGCCAGATGAGTCGTTGAGCTTTGACATCCACCAGTGAACTGCGACGTGTTTTAGCTTCTTACCAAACGCCCTTGTCATAAATAAAGTCCCACCAGACAACACTCATGAGTGATGACGTTTGTAACAATTTTATTTTCAATTTCCTTCTCATCCGAACATCTTGCACTTTGTTTTTATGAAAGGCATGCAGATAAAAATAAGTGGATCCTATACACTTGACAGATCTGGCTTATGGTACGCTAAGCGTTGTTGTAAGAAGCGTTTCGTAAAGAAAACACTATTTTTCTAGGCGCAATGTTACCCAATCGTACAGCTTCTTTGTCACACATAACTAACATGTTGGGAATGAGTTCGATGACCCCAGTCGTCTATTTTCTTTCCCCCCCCCCCCAATTTAATTTTTCATGACGCATTATATTACTGAGTCAGACAGAAGGGTTCTGCGGTGAAATATTAGTTCGTGTGCTGGTCTTATTGCACGCAATTATGTTACGTCGTAGTTAATAGTGTGCTCATCTCTGCAACAAATTATATGAATGGGGCCAGAGTAACATTCGCATTGCGCGCGCAGAACCGATCTAAGATCCAAAAAAGATCCGCGGTGGTGCAAGGCGTCGACTCGTTTTGTCCAAGATATTTGTCAGTAAGGACTGACTGCCTCTGTGCCTTTCTTTCCGAATATATCCCATTCATTTTGCCCTATTTGAACTGTTTCTCCGTCCTCTGGCATTTATACGTTAAAAGGAACATGCAATAGTGAAACGATAGTTAGGGCAGATTATAAATAGATCGGGCTTCATTCGAGGTGGAATAAAAGGTATTCGGGCTTGTGGGGTAAGGATATAATTTTTGAAGGCAAATTTCGGGCTCGGACTGGGGTGGCTGAGTGAAGTTCAAAAATGTCGGCCCGTGCGGACTTCTAGTGCAGATGGCGTGATTAACGTTGTTTTGGTTCAGTTACCACATTCCAGGTTAAGTGTTCATGTTTACTGGCGTTGGTTTAATCTCAGCTCTCTTACGTGACGTCATCGTTGGTGCTGGTGGTGTGGTAGATAACCTAGATGCAGTTCCATTGCATCTGCATAGGCTCTGCGGAAGGTTTTACTCAAGCAGGCCCTGGCATAAGGGAGTGCTACTGCGTGGCACGTATTTACTACTTCTTGGGAGTTACGAGATTCGATTCTCAAAATCGTTTTTACCCTAATTGTCTGATGCGCGTTTAATATACCTACACTATGAAGGTGACCGACTGCCTTCTGGGATATTGCACTTTGTAATCTGATTTATAATGAGCGACGTTTCAGATAACATACAGCAGTTGGTTCTAGTATCTTCTTCATGACTGGTGGTAATAGTAGTAATTATGATATTATTTTTATCGCCTGTATGTTTGTACTAATATCATCGGTTGGCAAAGAAACTTTTTTAAATGCTCCGGCCTATAGTTTCGTGGTAAGTCACTGTAATTCCTTTATTTACTCTTGAATAAGTGAATTACTTGATACATGTTATCTTTTAAACTCGAATACTTTATCCTTTTAAATAATGCGTGTGAAAATTGGCTCTCACACCGGGGGCGCTGAAGATAATAGGCGTATTTATACCAAGAACTGAAAACAAAGTTGAAAGGTTAGCATAAGAATTTATGACAAAGAAGTTATCGTCGGGGATGATAAACCCTAACTCATTTTATAGAACGCACATCCAAAAATCAAATTAGTTCACATCTGTCATTTCGGGAAACTACTTACTCGTATTGTTTGTTTTAAAGCAAAAAATATCCACATCCGTTAAAAAGCTGCACTTTTAAAACAGTACGGTTTTGTAAGGACAACACAGTTTATGAACATCAGCATGTTTGTTTTTAGTGTGTGTGTTGTTTCAAATGTGACAGCCATGCTTTTGCTTTGAGTTATAAGTGCCTTCGTTTTCTTATATTTACTTTCATGCGCAAAATAAGTTGCTCGTTTCCTTGAATCTAAACACACCTAGCTTCAGTCTCGTTATTGCAGAGTAAGTCACTGCATTGAGTAACGTGATTGTGAAGTATTAAATATACAAGATAGTGCAGCATGTGTACATCAGCCACGTGTGCAGTTTAAGACGTGTTCTCTGCGATTTCACTGGATTTGATGCGCGTATTAGTGAGTTGTTGCAAGGGTAATAGACATCACACTGCGTGCAGACAGATCCTTTTATTTTATTTACGACGAAAAGTAAGTTGCAGGTTTTAATGAGGGCTGTACGCACACATCATGTGGAAGTTTCTCTGTGTGGTCAGTAGTTTTTGAGGATATTGATGAAACCTGTACACGTGTGCGTCTTACAACTAGGGTTTTTGTTGGACTGATAGGAAAGAACATCAAATTCGCGGGACACCGATTAATGGAGCCCTGATACCAAATTTAATAGAACTGCTTTGAGTAGTTGAGATGCAACGTACGGAAGGACAGGCACTTTTTCCTCATAATTCTCTCATATCCTGTAGTTACACGTGATATTCCTTGACCCATATCTTGACGTACGTTCTAAAAAATGTGCTATGTCTGTTCATTGCTGACTAGAATTCCATCCCACCGATAATGCCTTCCTCACTTATGCCTAATATAGGCCTATTTGTGTTCTTTCAGGTTTTATGTGATAGCTGTTGGCCCACTTCGTGGTGAGTACTACTTCAGCTGGTAATATTAGTGTTAAGCAAATATGAATATGTACGAAATTAGAGTATACATAGTTTTGAAATGTAAACTTTCAGAGTTAGTACAGTAAAGAGATTTGATATTTTGAAACAGAGACGTTTAAAACTAATTTTAAGGATTGGTTTATAAGGGAGCAGATTGATACATAAGCTTATAACAGGGAACCGGTTTGTAATGATTTGTTCTGACATTTTCGGCACTGTTAACTGGAGAGTTTTTTTTACGAGTGTCCGGCCGACTCTTAGGACGACCAGTTAAATTTCGAACCGTCACATCCTTGTTCATATTTTCCACACCTTAGAAATGCTCCAAATGGCGACTTTGATTATTTTAGACTTCCATCATGGGGGGAGAGAGATATTCGCAGTGGATAATTAATTAGAAGTTCCTAGGTGCAAGAAATTGTGCTTGTGTTTAAAATTCGTCTCAAGACAGGTCTGTGCCAGATGCAGGGCTAGTTGTAGTTCCATTATGGAAAGAATGTCAGTATTCTCCTAAACTTGGACTTGGAAATATTGGAGGACCTATCAGCAGACAAGGAAGAAGGCTTCATTTAGGGTCATTTATTTGAGTATTTTGACGGCAGTTTGAAGAATTTTAAAATTTGAGTTTTATCAGTGTGATTATCATTTATCATACCAAGGAAGATGTCGTGTAGCGCGCGTGACAAATTCGTGAAAAATACTGGTTGCAAAGCACAAAGGATATATATTTATGCGTAGGTTTGAGAATAATATTAAAATTTATCGTAAGGAATTAGGGTGTGGATTGGACTGTTGTGCTTCAATCGAAGGACTGGAGTCTAGCTGTTACGTAAACAAGATAACGAATGCTTGAATTTCATAAGAGGCGGAGGACTTCTTGTTGACTAGCTGAGGTACTCTGGTATCTCAAGAAGGAATCTGCTCAGTGCAGAGAACATTAGATGTAATGTTTATATAGCCATGGGTTGGTCGCCAAAGCTCGGGTTATGATAACGGGGTGATTTTGGCATTAAGGTAGACTCTTTATACTGCGCAGTTCATCTTTGTTGGGCGTTGGCAGCACTTTTTGTTTTGCCTTTCTAGATAATTAAATGATCACTGCCGAATAATAAAAGAAACCGTTTCTCATCTACACCTGCTTCTCGTTTTTCAGTTGTTAAGTGGTGGTGGTATTCTTTTGGTGTATACAGGGCATATGAACTGTGTTTCTCATAAATATATCCTTCAGTGTTGCCGGTAATTGAGAAGTTTCTTTTAACTTATCACGGTCTGTAAGTTTCCATCTCTTGGAATGATATTTCTTTTTTTATTCTTTTATTGGTGGCACGAAGGCATAGGCACGTCTGCTTAAGTTACCATTTCTACAGTGGAAACTGGCGAATTGGTATAGGTCCTAACAGTGTATTGTCAGTTCTGATAATGTTTGTGCATCTTATTCACTGCCACCGGGTAAAAACCCATTTGCAGTTAATAATAAATAATAATATGAATGAGTAAGTGTCGTGTGGGTTCTGTCCTGGATACGGGTTTGTTTCCTTAAGTTTCGTATGTATATATGTATCTATATAACCCTAAAGATCCACAATGTCAGAAGATTTTATGACCGGATCTTGTCTACCAGTACGTGTGTGGGAGTCTAGCCCAAACATTTCTCTTTCTTTAATATCTACCTTCAATAGACCAGGGAATATGATTTCGTTTATTTTTCCTTCACTTAAAACCGAGTCACTGACCCAATCAAGGACAACGAATGTTACCAAAAGGTTTGTGCATCCCCTGATGAAATAACGTTAGTGTTCAACAGGCTTTTTTAATCTTGAGGAAGTGAAATAACTGCGTATTAGTTTTGAAAGTATCCACTTTTATTTCCATTCTTTGAAAATCTGTAGAAATTGAACATGCAACAAGCTGAAATAGCCTTAAAATAATACTTCTCTTCTCCCAGAATATTTTATTCTACGACAACTCTTGCAAGGCTCACTGTAGAGCAGTCGACTGCTCAGACAGAACATCTGTAGGGCTTGACCTAATTTTCCCTCGGTCCTTGGTTATTGTAGTGAGCAAAGCCGTTTTTAGACGCGTTTCACAGTCTGAATACCCGTCTTTCTGCTCGAACATGTCCGCCTTGAATATATGCATTTGATTAAACGTTAATGCTTAGAAGTGTTATTGGAATCTATTGTGTGAGCTGAGTTTAGTTCAACCTAAAAATGTTGCATGTTGTTTTCAGATGAATAGTTAACACGTAAGTTTATATATTTTCTCAAAATCGGCTCATCTTATGCAGGGTTTACACAACTTTTTATTCGATGATGTTTGAATCGAAGTTCTCAGTACGGGAGGTCAGACTAAAAGAGTTGAGTTGCGGGTTTGGGTCGAAAGCGGGTTTTTTGAGACCCGCACGGGACTTCGTTGCCGCCCCCGGTATGGCACGAGCCCAACTGAACATTCCAGGACGACGCGTGCCAGCGTCGCGGATACTCCCGAGCGTCGCTCCGGAAACGCCCGAGAGCGAGGTTTTACAGGGGAACACAGCCGTCCCATCATCGCCGAGGAGTAAGAGACGGGGAGGTGGCGGGTTGGGCGCTGAGAAAGATGCGAGGAACTCATCGCTTCGTACCGGTGCATACGACGACGACGACCGTGCAGGCCGCACGCCCTCACGTACCCTCGCTCGCGTTCAGCTCTTCTGCACTCGACGACACAAACAACCATTTCGACAAGTAGCACGCAGGGTGAAGAAGAGAAAGGCAGAGTGAAAGATAAATTAATTAAACGAACTTTGCATAAAAGTTTAAAAAATAGAAAACTTTTTAGAAGCAAGAAGAAACGTGGACGAATAATATTATATACCGAATATTGTAAAACGAATTAAGTGAAAGAAGGGGGCCATCAAGATATTATTAGAAATAGTTTTATAATTATATCGTCACCATCTGAATGTGGGATGTCAAGACGACAGTCAGCTGATGCAGAATAGTTGAGTGAGCGAGCAACGCCCCTCACAGCAGAAGTCACTCCGGCCGAAGATGGCCGACTGGGTGTCACGTGAATATTAATAGCATCGGTGACCATAATTCTGTTTGCTCCGCAAAACCAAGTTGTCTTATCATACAACAATATGCGTAGCGGAAGATAGAATACATTTTGAAACATCTCCCCTAAGAATTTGTTAGTTCCGACTTTGAAACTTTCCATTTTTTATATTCCAAATGTATAAAAGTAATGTGAAGCTTTGTGTAATAGAACTTGGAACATGGACACGTATGAAGGACATACGTAATTAATGTGGCAATGGTTATTGAAGTACGGTGTAATCGGTTGTATCTCGCTCGTGGTCGTGAACAAGAAGAGACAGTGGCACGTGCAGCAACTCTGTAACCAGGACCGATTCTTGTTGGTGTGTGTGTGTCTGTAAAATGAAAAATACCTTGCATGATTTCACTGACATTTGAGAACAGTTACTGCTTCTGTCGTTGATGCTGGAGACAAGCAGTTCATGATGTCGAAATCTCTGGTTAATGAAGTGCCTCGTCCATCGGTTCATGCTACCACCCCTGAACGTAAGGATGGTGTTGCATTACCTGTGCTGCCTCCCCCGCGTGCTACAAGAGGCGAAAACCAGTCCGAAATGTGTTTACCAGTCCTGCAGGACCCGTTTCCCTTGAGTCCAGAAACAGATAAGGAAGATATCGCTTCTGAAGATGAGGATTCTGCAACGAGATCGCCAACCCCGTGGTTCATGAAGCATGGTTGCAGTATCACCGCTGTCGCCATCATTGTCCTTATCGCCGTCATCTTGTTTCCACCCGTATGGTTGAGGATTGGAGTTTGACTGGAGCTGAATGTCTTTTGGACGTCAGTGAAGAAGTTTGGGAACTTGTGCTGTGGTGGAGACTGATTTCGTGATATATTTGGTGATCGTGGATGGTGTCGGGAGTGAGCGATTGTGCGAATTTTTTGTAGTAGAATGATGAGAGAAGTGGTAGTTATAATGGTTCCTGGTGGCTGGTAAATTTGCTGCTGCCACTCCCGTTTTATCAACTTGTTCGTATCGCCAGAATGCCCGTGAGCACCGGAGCTGGCTCTTCGAACGCCGACCGCGCCAAACGCTGCAAGCACTGTGAAGGTAAGACCACGGTCACGTTGTATCTTGCATCTCTCTCAATCTAGTTAAACATTACGGAACTTTGGGCTTTCACGGCGAATCAGCTGCAATGTGGATCTTGTTCTAGGGTGGTAGGATCGTGTAGATGTAAAGCCTGGCTGGACGGTATGGCCGGCATTTCCGAGTTGCATCTACACGGCGAACTTCGCCTTGAAGACGAAGGCAGTTAAGAAGGCTCGGTATTTCTGCAATGCTTCCCACGTGTACATGGTTCTGTCAAACAGAATCAGGACCCACAGATTGCTTCGTCCTTTTTTTATTTACGTAGACTAAATTAAAATCCAACAGTGATAATAGCTCTGTATTTTCTGTCCCCTTCTGTAATTACTTTGTATACAGCCTCATAGCAGTACGTGTTCTTACTTTATGAGCTAAATAACCGTACTGTAATTCAGAGGGATCACTGAGTTACACCCATTGCCTTAAAACGATACATCGATTTGTATTGGAATGATAATATCAATAGAGTTCTAATGGTAATGTTACTTCCCTCCCGAACAGCCATTCGCTCTCATGTTATATTAATGCGATTCTGTTGTTATTTTCCTGTTGATAGAGAGTAGTTAGCATCTATCTCGTGACGCCGTTAGTGTCAACTTTGTGGTCGTCCGATTCTTATTGCTAGAAAAATGAATTAATCTTGTTGATACCTGGTTTTGGTCTGCGGTCGTAATGGACATATGTTGTAATATGCTCCATGTGGAAAGTAAATGCATTACAGTAAATTAATAAATACACGATAACGTCTATATAGAAGTTATACTTATGTTGTCGGCGTATTTTGTCGTGTGGTGAGATTGTGCTTGTCTTCGTTCTGCGATGCCGTCTGTGGTAAAGGTGTGTTTAAATATACAGTAGCTTCTTGACAAAGTCATTCGGAGATTATTAAACTTTTAGTTAAGTTTCATTTGTTAACACCTTTGTTTCTATAATCGTATTGGGATAATTAGGGCACGCAAAGGCTGTGAGATTTGAGGTTCTCACGGCAGTGAAGGTGACGTGTGGACTCGTAGATAGGTACTGACGTTTCGGTTAAACTTACTGTCTCCGTCTTCACTGACCAATAACGTCATGGAGTATTATATTTATATAATATATAGAGAGAATCGACACTGGGTAATGATTTAAAGTGTAATATTAACAAAATCTTTATATTCGATGTTGTATCTTCTGTGTTATTCTAATACTGCTATAAAGTTCACAACCTTTCTGTTACAACTCTCAGTTACATATTTCACACAGCAATGTACGTATTATAATATTTCTCTCCTGATTGCGACCTGCGCCTCACAAGGCGGCAACTTCTCCGACTCTACTGTGAAGCGGGTTGCAGGCATTACAGTCGTGCGGGGTAAGCTCTGGCATTCGTATGGCTTTGTAATTGGGATGTTGGCTTAATTAGTGCTGTGTTTGCAAGGTAAAGATAATGATGATTTGTCTTCGTCATTGCCTAAAGCAGATATTCAAGCGATATATGTGTACCAAGAAATGTGGCTATGGGATTTCTGTAAGTTTTAAAGTTGGTTCCTTAATACGAGTGCAGACCTGTTCAAATAAGATAACAGCAATGCATGCGTTGGTATTAGTGCCTTAAGAACGCCCGATGTATATAATTTTATTATTAATTTTTGGCTTATGTGTTTTGCGGAACTTTTTAACAAATAGCTGTGGTAGTGGACAGTAATAAATGAGTATAGTGACCCATTTTAATGGAAAGTTTTGCTTCTTGAAAAATGCTCGGTTTGCTCTAAACTACGTGTTGTCGTGACATCTGAATGAATGGGATGTGGTGACGGTATTTCCAGATAATTCCCCACTGTGCGCTATGTCTTTTAAAAATAAAAAGGGAGGGGCCACTTGCTTAATTTGACATTTGGCATTAAGCTAATTCGTTGAGTGGTTGGCTGTTGGCTCCGTTGTTGGGTAGTTCAAGGAACTCTTTGACGAGAACCGGTCCACCAGGGTGAGGCACGTCAGGGGTGATAAACGTATGAGCTAACCGACTTTGTCTTAGTCCTTCCACAAGTCCGTATTGCGTGGATTTCATAGGAATATGCTTTCGAATGGAAAGGCCAGATGTGTTAGTGTTTGGGCGGGGTAAAAGGGGCAACAGTGAAGCTATAGAGCGAAGCAAATTTGAGAATGGATTATTTAACATAAAATTTAAAACGTAAAGAATCTCTTCAAACAAAACATTTTGTGGCGGAATTTTGCATTTAATTTTTGGTACATTTTCACAGTTTTGCGACGGCTTATTTAACGACGCTTTCAGTAGGTCAAACTTACAGTTTCGTTTGGAAGGGTGCTTAATATATAATTATTTGAAAGCTTATGGAAGGAAGCGGTTGTGTCCTAACTTGAAGTTCCGTACTATCATTGAATTTGTCTGGATGGACTAGGTAAACTACGAAAAACTTAATAAAATACCCTGTCTCCTGGTCGAGGCTTGAAACCTAATCCTGTCGAAAACGAAGCCGGATTGCCAACTAATCGACCACAACGTTCAGTGGTGTCACCATCATTTCAGGGTTAATTAATGACTCAAACACTAAAACTCTGTACAGCATTGTCAAAAGAGTTAGTTTTAAGCAAAGAGGATAATTCAAAGATAACTATATTTTGGTGTGAACATGGGGATCTTCGAAACTTGGCAGTTCAGTGTACATGGGGCGTCAGATAGAAACAGTTTCCACATTATAATAAATTCTGTTAGGGCTACCAGTCGTGCAAGGTGGCTTAATGAAGAAAACACCAACTTTTCGAGGACGAAGATGGTTCTCGAAACTTTGGTGTTTTCTTCATTAAGTCACCATGCACGGCCGATAGACCGAGAAGAATTTTTTGTACTTAGTCGCCGTGAACGGTTCAGATCATGCATCCACATTACCATACTGTGGTATCTTTGCCTTTCTTCCTACCGAAAATGTAAGACTGGCAGCCTATTTTAAGTTACTTATGCCTACATGTCGGAGCCAGAAACTATAATGAGTTTTTATATACACGCTATTTGCGGGTGTTTATAGCTGTGAGGAATGTTAAGAGGGAATGAGGGACTTGGGCAAGATCGTTTTATTGTACACATGTTCATGTTCGGGTAAAGGTAAAGTAAACAGTTTAGGTATTTTTAATTGTTACTAAAACGTGCAAAAAGTAGTTAGCGTGTTATCGTGGAAGAACAGGCACTAGGAAATAGTTTTGTACTCTAAATTCATTTTGAGAATGGAGCTAAGCTCGTGATACTACAAGGCTAGGATCTCTCTAGACTTTATTTCCCCCACAATTTGTAATTACTTCAACTTAACGCGTCTGTATTTAGATTCCGGGGTGTCTTAAGTGAGTGTAATGGCTTCTCCGGGCTGGTCGAACGGGATTTGATACCCGACAGGGTAGGATTTTTTCTCATCTCAACATCCATGCCCCCCCCCCCCCCCCCTGTCCAATCTTTACCGCGCTTTTATCCTTGGGGATAAATCAGCAGGGGTTTGAAGCTAAACGCTCATCCTTAGCCAGTGCTGATGTCAAGAATGTGTGAACTGTACATTCGCTCGGCATACATTTGCATGGCGACTTAGTTCAGTCACCTCAAAGTAGGGACTGGGAAATTATAGACTATTGCATTTTAGAGGTATTAAAGTTAGTTTGATTATTTGCCCACATTTTATGAGTGCAGAGTGGATTTGGGTCAGCGTAGCAAGGCTGTGGAAGATTATTTAAATATTAAGTATTTGTTTAAATATTAACTACGTAACTAGTAATGTGGTAGGAGACTTCGAAGGAGGACGGAAGCATCGATAATACTAGAGTTTGCCATTAGTCACTATTTTTATCTCCTTCCTTTCACATCGTGTCTCACGATCTTCCTTCCTAAGACCCACCATGTTGTCCGCTCGTCTTCCAGTGGCGGTTAAGTGATGTTAGAATGTTTTCACTAGCATTGTTAAACCCATGTTAATACTCTTTATTTACCAGTGAGACATAAGTTCAGCAGTTCATACAATATAAACATGTGAGTTTTTATATTTTCACGGAGATATGGATGATGAGAATATTCTTGGTTTTTGATCCCTGTAGGCTCGTCAGTAGGGGCCAGAGTTTTGGCGAACCGTACTGTTTTCATCTTCAGGGCTGAAGTGGAGATGCTGGGAAGCGATCTCCTCTACCGACTAGTATACACGGCACAAATCCCAAAAGAAAAACATCGTCGAAATCTAACCATGCTGTGTTCTCTTTTTATTGTATTTTTCTGACGATGTTCGTGGCACCCCTGATGTCAAAAATGCTATTGCCAACAATTCAGCGAGGAAAATAAGCGTTCAGGAAATGTCTCTCCAGTCCCCTGTTTGACCGACTGACATAGGCAGTTTGTATTGCTCCAGCACTACTTGCTTAATCTTCGCCCACTGTTTTTTTTTCAGTACGCTGTCTGGGAGCTTGATATCCTGGTTTCTTTTGTCCTGTCGTATCTTCTGTTAACTTTTGCTTGTAATATGACGTCTTGATGTCCTGGTGTTCTCGAACCGTCAATCGCTGTACGTTTTCGTAACCTCTCCTCAGCAAAGTTCTTTCATCCAAACACTGTGGCAACAGTCTGTTATGAGGAAAGACAGAAGCAGATGAAAATAGGTTTAATGATTCGTTTGAGTGAGATGTTTCGAGAGAATTCATACTCTGGTTCTTTGTCCCTCAGCCTACATTCGCATGTAGTTCCTCAGCTTGAACGTCGTGGGCTTGTGTGCTCGTGAAGGGAGACTCGCTTGAAGAATGTCTGAAAGTGCTTCAACCTCTCGAAGAACGAGATGTCTTACATTCTTTCTGCAAGAAAATGTTTGCTGTACCACAGTGTCATATAAATATCGATGAAATGCCAGAAGGGCGAATCAACAAAATTTCTGATTTACGGGAGACAGTTCTTACCCCTGTTTGGTTTCAAAAATGTGCAGTATTAGTGTTCATTCACCCAA